AAAAAAATTACTCTAGCAAATATTTAGAAAAAGGAAACAAAATATTCAACGACCGTTCTACAACAACAGAAACAAAAAAGTGAAAACTTTTATTTAACTTTGCAAAAAAAAAAACAAATAAAACAAGATGTGAAAATAACAGATTTTGGTCGTTGACGTTTTCTTGTGTGTAAAAGTTTTTTTTTTATAAAATATGTATGTGTACTAAACAACTACACATAAAATATTTTATAAAACGCATGGACTTGACAAAAATAAATTTCAATGTTTACATTTCTCTTCTAATTAAAATTGAAGCTTCCAAAACATACTTGTTAGGGTAAAATAATAATTTTTTTTTTTTAATTTGTCAACAGATTTTATGCAAAAATACAAAATCGAATGTTTGTTATAGAATTTCCCCTCTTGACTTATTTACGTATTCTTAACAGTAATATTTACTTAATTACGTTTTATTTAATTTAATTTTCCTTTACTTAATGTATGTCTACGTACTTCCGTTATTGCGCATTTTATCATGTTTCCGGTGTTTGTTTTTGATTAAATATTTTCCAGCAAATTGAATTGCAAATTGTGTTTTTCTGTTTTTTGCCATCTTTCTCAGACTCCCTTTTATATTTGTATGTAGATATATTTATTTTTAGAATTCTTATTTCTTAGAATTCCATCTTCCCTTTCAAACCAAAAAAAAACTACATATTTTAATTTCAGCGAAAGGATGTTTTATGATTTTGGGCATAGTCAATTATTTTTACGGCGCATTATATTAGAGCTACAATTACATCGAACATGTAAAATTTGACAGATGCTCGGGTAAAATACGAATGTTTTTGTTTTGATACCTCACCTTATTATGGCATCATGATTTATATGTAGAACTATGAAAGAATTTGGCATCACTTTTCACGACCACTAATAGCACATTTACATTGCTAAGGCATATCGCAATTCGTTCGACCAGCAATTAACTTATCACAAAAGGAGTATTCTAAATTATTATTTTTTCGCTTCGATGATTTATAAATTGAGTCGATTTAAATTGAAATCTGTTTTAAATAATAATAAAAAATAATTTAATTTTATACCAATCATATTAACTTTAATTATTTTCAATGTATATTTGCTATGACATTTAACATTTTTTATTTTAAACAATACTTAATACAAATAATAAATTTCACTAACTAAACAAAAAGTCCCTCGAGTTATCTTTTCGTTAATGAGAAATTCCTATCCTTTCCCTTGCCAACAAAACAAAGCAAATAAATATCTTTAATAAAACTTGTCTGTAAATTAATTTTATTTTTTATTTAATTTTCTCTACAAACATTACTTGTATTTGTTTATAATCAAAGGTGGTATATCTCTATGTGTGTGTGTGCGTTGTAAATTTTCTATATCTAAGATAAATATTAATCAAAAAATTTGTTTTCTCTGTGTTGCTGTGCTGTAGAAAGAGTTCGAATAAGTAAATATTTGTTTTCATTTAATTTGTACAAATTTACTTTATTGTATGGATGTGTGCACACACAAACACACACACACACATACATCATCTGTCTGTGTTCAAGAGGATTTATGAATTTATCGTAAAACATATCTATCTTCAGACATTAACTAATGTCAAATGAAATGAAAGAAACTAAGAAAAGTACACAGTAACAGACAAAAGTGTTCGTCAACGTACACAAAAATATGCAGTATCTACAATGGAAACAAGTACAATACGATGGATACATACTTGTGTATTGTTAGTAACTTCTTGCAGAGGTAATGGTGTAACTATTATTTGTTTGTTGGTCGGTTGGTTGTTTCGTTCGTTTGTACGTTCATACGAGCATTTTGTATTCGTACAATTTATGCCTGACAGCTGTCATTTATGAGAATTTATTTGTATTTATTTAGTTGCTGTTGTTGTTTTCCTTGTTGTGGTTATGTTTTCTTTTTATTACTGACGTTGTCGTCGTTCGTTGTTCTTTGTCCATGTTATCTGTTGTTGTTGTTGTATTTAGTATTACTGTCTTCCTTGTAATTTGTTTGTGCGAATGTATTTGTTTTAGTTTTGTTTTTGTTATATTTTTTATCAGTCACACACATCCCGACAAAATTATATATTCTCCCTTTGGGTTTCTGTTCCCCTGCCGCATCGAGAAATGCAGTTTCATCAATGTGCTGTGAATGTATGTGTGTGTGTGTTTTGTCTTTTCTTTCTTTTGGGGAGGTACTAATAGAGACTGCAGGACATGTAAACAATTTCTGTAAAATATAAGATAACCAAAAAGTTTTAAACTTGACAAACCAACAAATGAAAAAAAAAATACAAACAATAAATAACATGTAGAAAAAAATACGAAAACATGCTTAAGAAAATTAACAAAACCGAACTGGAGACTAATTTGCATTAAATTTATGAATTAAATATAAAAAAAAAATATTTATATCCTAAAAGTTGTTGAGATTAATGTTTTTTTATGGAATTAGAAATAGGTTTTGATTTTACTTAAAATGAAAATGCAAATTTGAGAGAGAGGCACATAGCGTATACGTCAAATATGAAGGACTCTATTTGTAAATCGAGATACCGAATCCCAAGACTACGTTTAGACTACTAAATCCACTCGATATCAAATATCAATTCCATAGCGTATACGTCGCGATATGGAATTGACATTAGAGATCAAGTGGAGTTCGTAAATATAAGCCCACTTTTACTGTTTAGAAATGATGTGGATTAGTCAGCTGTTATTTGTTTACGTATACATATACATTTTATTGCTTTCCGATTTTTGTGGTAATTTTTTAAGCAATGCTTTTATAGTTGTTTTAAGAATTGCTTTCCGAAAGGTCAGAAACGTATATAAAAATTACTTTGTTGTTCTAAATTATAGTAATATTTATTATAAATGCAAAAATAATAACTTTTCATCAGCTGACATATTTTTGTTAGGCAATTATTTTTATTATTAACTAATTTTAAAGCATACTTTATGGAGAAACGATTATTTTATTGGGACAATTGATTGTATTTGAAATTATCTTGATTTAGCATAGGATTTCGAGTAAATTGAGACATTGATTGAATTTAATTCTGTATGGCAAATCGAGGTAAAGTCAGCTCCATTGAGTAATTAAATCGAGATAATGCACTTTATCACGCTCCTAATCTAAAACCGAAACCATATGCACAAATCAGCTGTTTACAATTGACCGGGATAAAGAAGTTGTAATGTAAACACGCCATTTAAATTGCCATTTTCTTTAAAGGAAGTTCTCTGTATGTTATAAATATTTATTTGTTTAATAAAAATTATTATATTTTTATTGAAACTAAATTGAAAAATATATTTTTTTGTTGCTAAAATAACACGACCAATTTTTGTTATTTATTCCGTCTACATAATAAAGTTTCATTGTTTTCTTCTTATTGTACTATTTTTGTTTTGATCACACACACAAACACACCGTATGTGTTACATACACACACATTCATTAGTCAAACATAGTGCAAAAAATTTAAATTTATGATGCTAATTTATTGCTTTTCTTAAATGTGTTTGTTTTTGTCGTTGTTGTTAGTGTTTCCTACAACAACAATATAAAATTCACATTTACAACAACAGCTGCTGCAATTTTATTCTGAAAAGAAAATGTCTGCATATTAAAGTTTGAAAAGAACTTTACATATACATAAAGTACATCCACACACATGCAAGATGATACTAATACAGCCACCCATCCACCATACCTTTGCAGAAAAATTTATCCTCCCATCAGTTGCTTCTATTAAAATATATGTATGCGGGGTGTGTGTGTGTGTGAGTTTGGATCTTCTTCGAAGTAAATCCTTATATCACTCCCAATTTAACTTTAATGTCTTTTCTTGCTTTATTTTAATTGGCTTTAGTTTTTCAGCGTTTTATTTTTTTCTTTGCTACTTTCAATTATATTTTCAGTGCCCTCCACAGTGGGCGAAATAACATATGTTTTTGTCCTTTAATTTGCAACACTTAAAATTTGGATATTGACGAAGCAAATTGTTTTCCGTTTTTGAAGTCATTGTTATTTGATTTTTTTATAAAATATTTATTTTTTTCCGTTTGTTAAACTACATTTCCTTCTCAAACATTATTACGTATCCCCCTGTTGCAGGGTATCCAGTATTCGACCATTTTTATTCGTTTTATCCCCCTCTTGCCGCCCCCAATGCCAAACAGGCTAAGAGGAAATTGCATGGTTTCGGTTAAGGAATTCTCTTTTTTGTTTTTCTCATTCCACTTTACGAGCAAGCGAGCGCACATGCATTATTAATAAAATTGCCAAGAAAAATAACAACAACAGCAGCAGCAAACAACAAGAAAGAGGAAGAAAGAAGTAAAACAAAAAAATTAAAATTTATGGCTTTTTTATTTTGTATGCATAATATCCTCGGAGCTGATTTATGAGTTCAATTTGAACATATTTTTAGTTGTTTTTATTTTTCTCTCTCGTCTTTCTCTTTAATTAAAATTAAAAACCCATATAAAAACTACAATAATAATTACGTTTTTAGAAAATAATTGAAAGCTAACAAAAAAAAAACATATCATTTCAAAATTAAAACCGCATGTAAACGTTTTTGGCTTCAAAAATTAAAAGCAAAAATCTAAACGTTAATAAAGATTTAGAGTATGGCAATCATGAATTGCTGCTGCTGAACGACAAACGAACAGACACACACACGTGATGTTCAATTATGACAATATTATGACAGACGGAAACGTGATCGTACAAATTGCAAAATGGCAACATCAAGTATTATGACAAATATGTACATACATATATTTTTATATTCAAATTGAATTTATATAATAAAACGTATTCATCATAATTATTCTTATTCAATACTCTGTGTGAATGAACACACACATACACATGTTCTACCACACACGTACATTTTCTCTAATGAATGTTTATTGTGAATATTTATTTATTTTGTCTATACATTTCTTCTCATTTTTCAGACGCCATCCCGCGGCCGTAAACCTTCTGCCAAAGCTGCAAAACTAAATGCTGGCGCCACTGCAACAGCAACTGCGCACTCACCACGACAGGTTGTTGCCAATTCAACGATAAGTCCAGTTGGTGCTGCCGCAACAGGAACGGTCGGAGCATCGCATCCTTCGCCAAATACAAATACAACAAATCCCAATAGCCACAGCAACAACAACGCCGGCAATACTAATTTGCTAGCAGCAGGCCAGCAACAACAACAATTGGGAGGTAGTATACATCATCAGGCGGCGACAGGCCAACAACAGCATTTGCAACAACATCAACTGACAAGTAGTCAACAGTTGCAACAACAACAGCAGCAACATCACACCCAATCATCAAGCCATTTACATACTCAACAACAACAACAACAGCAGCAGTCACAACATCACCTTAATAATTTACACAGCCAACAGCAGCAACAACAGTCACAACAGTTGTCACAACAACAACTACAGCAGCAACATCATCAACAACTAGGACAAAATACCAGTGGGCAGCAACAACAGCAGCAATCATTGGTGCATCATCAACAACAGCAGCAGCAACAACATCAACATCATCAATTGCAACCACAACAACATCAAATTACAGCACAAATCCAAACAATGAAGGACCAACCGCAACAACCAATGGTGAGTATATTTTTTATCATTTTTTCAATTTCGGAGTAGAGATCTAGCAAGATCTATTAATTTGTGTGAGAAAGTCAGCTATAATGTCAGAAATTTAGACATTGTTTTTTTTTTATAATGGAAGTCTATTCACAATAAGGGATTTTGACAGGAAACTGAAGAAGCAGCCGATCTTCCTGGATGATTTTATTTATAGGTAGTAGCTGATCAAGGTCTATTTATAAGGCCATCCTGGAAGACCAGGTGGTATATCAAGATTGCAGAATTCACTTCCATTATAAAAACTTAAAAAAGTTCAAATTTTTGACATTAGACTTAATGTCTGGGCTCTAGCTTATAAAGGTCTATTAATAAGGTCATTCAGGAAGATCAGCTGCTTCTGAAGTTTCTGGTCAAAATCCGCTATTGTGAATTGTCTTCATTATCAAAACGTAAACAAAGTCAAACTATTTCAAAAAGAGTTGAGAAAAAAAACAGCTGACTTTCGCGCCACTCAAGTTTGCTGTCAAAATGCTTTATTGTGAATTGACTTCCATTATAAAACCGTAAACAAAGTTCAAATTTTTGACATTAGACTTCAGAAAAACAACTGTTTTCCGATTTCGATTGCTACTTGGGTGACGTTATTTATAGATCTTGGACATAATTTAGAGTAAATTGAGAGAGGAAATTTGATTGTTGTGTTACAGAGTATTCTTACTAGAAAAGAATTTTTCAGTAACATCAGCTGATATTTTATTTCCTGTTTTGTAAATATGAAAATTTTGTATTTACTCTCTGCAAATTCTTACTGAGTAAATGTTACTGGGAAAGTAAATGAACAAACCTCTTGTAACATAATGAAAAACTCCAATAAAATAATGTGGATTGCTAGGGAATCTCTTACATTTGTGTAAATAAGAATTTACTGGTTATTGCAATAGACTATCTTTGTTGTTTAGTGGATTTTGAACAGCCAATTTTATTCCATAATCCTAAAAAATATACCTATATCCAAATTTAAAACAACAAATATTGTGTAGACCGGAAACTATATGTAGATATAATCAAAGGTCTTCCATAAACACCATTATGCCGAACCGAAAAAAATAAGCAAATCCTTTTTGATTTATTTATAGAAGACTCGTATAACTTTCAATCAGGACTAATTTGCATAACAATCCCTCCACATTACCACTCTCTGCCCACCCTCCCCACATGTACAGATATTTGAATGTACATTTAAAATGTAAATCCTTATCAAAATTTGTTAATGCCGCTAGGAATTTCAAATACAATAAGCAGCAACAACAACAACAACTTTGTATTCATTAAAAACGAAAATCCCCACGGCAAATTTTCAAACACACCCCGACGAAATTTAAACACATAAATTAAAGTCAGGTGATTATATTTTTTGGAACAATGATGATTATGGTGGTAGTCGTAGTAGTGGCGTTGATGGTGGTGGTGGTAGTTTAGATACAAATCCTCTATTGAATTATGTACACGTACAATATTTGCACTCCAAGGAATGAATGGCGGTTAATGGCAGTTAAATAAATCTTAATGACACATTTAAAATCCACCTTCCCCCTCTCGGATGATGCCTGCCAATAATGTGTGAAAGAAGATAGGAAAAGATTTCAAATATTATATTCTAGATAATGTTTGAATGTATGTATACAACGAGTAGATTAAAATATTTCTAATCTATTAAGATATATAAGAAATATAGGCATCGCATTTCTCCTTTCCTAGTGACACACAGCACACTCCTCCAGCTCCCATTGCATTTAATCGAATTTATTGTGACAAAGATTTAGTTGAAATGGAAATTGCGGAATTGTAAATGCCATGGCGTACATAATTACAAACACGTGTTGTATTGTGGATAATTTATACGAATTTCCGAAAATTCTGCTGTTGCCACGATTTTATTACAAAGGGGGTGGTATTTCAATTACAATATAATAATTTATTGTATTGAAAATTAATAAAAAAACGTATATCAACATATTTCACATCCACCTTTCTGTTCCATTTTTCAAAACATCATGCAGGACATTTTTTAAAGAATACAATCTAATTGGCTACCTCAAAAATTTCAAATTACTATTTTTGTATTTCTTACTATTATTTCTTTGAATAGAAATATTGAATGGCCACAAAAAGTATGCAACGAAAATTGCAATATCAAAACTAAATAAAAATACGACAACAACCCCATCGCAGTGTAACGAATCGCTTTGAATGGCAAGAAACACTTTCACTTTTTTATTGTTTGCATAAATAATAAAACGAAATAAAATGTATGCAATAAATTAAATTTTCACATGTACATACTATATGAATATTGTATGTACTTCGTACAGGAATACCGGATATATGTGCATACATATGTATATAAATCTATGCATGTTTGATAGCAGCACAACCATCCAGGTTGCCTAATGGCTGAGCAGCAGCAGCAGCAACAACAATAATAATAAAAAAATATATTTTTTCATATTACGTTCATTCATTGATAAATTCAAAAATTGTTTTAAAACGATAGTTGTGGTCGCTTTTGCTGATGTTGTCATAGATGACGATATAAATAAACTACTGGCGGAACAACGTACTTTTTAATATTTGTTATTGTTGTTGTTGGCAAAATGTTATTTTTTTTTATTTTTTAAAATGCATACTTCCAACAAGCAGATCATTCACTTATATGTATGTATATATAACAAATAACAGTAAAAAACAATCTGATTGACTACTTCATAGATTTCATTCATCAATGAATGCAAATCCCTTCCAACTCCACCCCACACTAGGAAATGTAGCTAAATTGGAAGCTGGCTGATATGGACTGACACTCAAAATATATCTCACATTTGGTAATAAAAGTTTTGGACCTATTTTCCTACAACTACTACACAATTATGAATCCGAAATATAATTCCCCCCGAATACTTGCATCTCTACTAAGAAATAGAATAAAAACGATTTACATACCAACAAACCCTTATCTCCACAGCATTAAGTTCAACTCTATACAAACATATGGTTCTGTTTTTTTTTTAATTTTAGAAAATTTATTGCCAAATATTCTAAACAATAAAATGATATATAGGCTGTCGTCCGGAGCCGCCGAAATAAAAGGTGTAGGGAAAATAAATTTAACCATGTGTGCGTATTTAATTACTGCTAAAAATTGAATTGAAACATATGAGAAAGGATATTGGGCTCAAACAACCCCATAATAACTTTTAGGGGATGAACAATTTGGCACACATAAATCTTCCTCCGTTTTTTTTTTAACAAATATTTTCCAATTCAAAAAACAAACTGGTTTCAGTCACTCTCTCGCAAACGCGTTATTTGTAAACACAACTGTTGAAAATGCATATTTTCTAATTTTGTTAATGCTATCCCTTCTGTTTGTTTGTTTCTTTCAGGCACCCATGGCCTTTTATCCCACATGGCAAGCTGATCCCTCGCAGGGTTGGCAAAACCAATTCATCCAACAAATACCACAGAATACACCCGGCATCACATCCTTGGACTTTCAGACACAGTCATACGGCTATCCATCAAATGGATATGTACAGACAGGTTTAGGATTTGATCCCAACTACGGACGTTCACCATATGGAGCCCCGGTCCAGCGTTATGATTTCCAGAGTCAACAGCTATCTAGTGCGCCCATCAATCAGGTTGGCCTACAGGGTGTGGGCTTTGCCCCCTCATCGGTAGCCTATGCCGGTCAAGTGTCGACGGGGCCTAGTGCGTCCAGTTTGCAGCAGCAACAGCATTTGGGCAGTGTCACCGATCTCAATAAGACGATGTCGGGAAACGACACGCCTGGATATCCGCGAGTGAGCAGCGTGCCGCCGCGCTCACTCAACTGTAACGGATATTCAGGCGACTATAGCGGCAGTGCTACACAACAACAACAACAACAGACTTCGAACAACACAAGTACGGCTGCTTCGACAGCAGCAGGTTCGGCTGGTAACTCTTCGATTGCCAGCGTAAATGGAGGTCACCAAACAATTGCTCATAATACGGCAGCTTCACAGCCGGCAGCTTCCCCCATGCAAACACCCAATAATCAAACAGTGCCACAGTCTCCTACACGCAGCGTCATGCAGCAACCCCAAACGCAGGCCATGGGCCAGCAGAATCGTCATGTCTCACAATCGCCGAATCAAGTGGCTCAATCGCCCAATGCAAACTTATCCGCTCCGCAAGGCACTCAGCAGCAATATGGCGGCACCACAATACCCAGTGGCCAGTCTCAAACCCAGGCTCAGAATAATATCGCTTCGCCCCCACAGCACCCGCAGCCTATGCAACAAGACTGGAATTGGAACACTCAGCCGCAGGCAGTGTCGGACCCCTATCAGCAAACCACTACTGGTCCTGGGGGAGAGCGTGTCAACTTAAATACTCGCATCAAGTCCATGATAATGCGCAAGAATGATCCCAAGGACCCACTGTCGGCTCCACCAGATATACATGGTATGTCTGGAGCTCCTCCACCACCACTGGGTGTCGGTGGACCAAATGGTAGCCAGCAACAACAACAGACCGGTCATTTTTTATCGTATAGCCACCATCTCCGAGGCGATTCAGCAATGAATGCCAATGGTTCGAATGGGAGTAATGCACCAACGGCCCAGCAGCCACAAACTCCGCAGCAAAATCAGACTCCTCTGAATTCTGGCTTGGCAAGCGGCGGTGCATCTCTAGCCCCCGAACCAATCGGAGGTGGTGGCGATCACATTTGGAAGCCACACCATACGAATTCGTTTAAGAAGCCGGTGGCGTCTGGTTTTCCAAATGCCGAACATCATCATCATCATCAACAACACAATCAGCAGTCTTTAGCACAAACTCCGCCTCAGCAGCACACAACAACGGCACACAACCCCGATCCTCCAAAAAAGTCAAGTCGTCGTAGTCGCAGCAATCGGTCGTCATCTTCGTCGTCGGCAGCTGCAGCCAATGCGGCCTCGGTCAATGCCAATAGTGCCGACAACTCGGATATCGATAAGAACAGTAACGATCCGGGCGGTGGTCACCATCTCGCCCACCTGGCGAACATAAAAATGGAAAAAGGCGTCACATATCCTCCGCCACCCTCTTCGCACTATCCTCCCCAGCATCCGGATTATCATCATGCTCCTTACATTAAAACCGAGCCAGGACTTATCCCCGGACAACACAACAAAATGGAAGGCTATGAGCGGAATTACCAGAACTTTGTCCAGTACGCTGACTTCTGCCAGAACGAAGTACAGGGCCAACCAGGAGCCAGTGGTGCACAACAGCCCCCACCTCCCCATCATCAGAATCAACAAGACTATGCAGCTGGATATCATCACAATTCCTCGTACTACGGTTCGTCGACAACTTTTCAGCAGAGTTACCAACAGAACTTTGTGCCCAATTACCAGCATTCGGCATCCGCGTTTGGAAACGCGCACGGGATGCATCCGCATTCAAATGCTCTCTCCTCATCTGGTCACTCGAAGTCGTTAAATGGTCCCCTGGCGAAACACCATCCCAGTAGTCTGCATCATCACAGCAGTCACATGATGGACATTGATCGCAAACCGGAAACCAGCAGCATTATTCCCTTGCCAACCAACTACGAAAAGGATATTCCAGCTCACGCTTACCCCATTCCACCGCATCGCTATCCCCTCGGACATGGTTCCACGGCTCATCCTCACTTGGGCTCAGGTCTACTTGAACCAAAAGTGGAAGACATGAGTGGGGCCTATGGGCCGGGCGGGTCTGGTTATGTGTTCCATGGCGAAGGCGGTCCGGCAGCAATCAAGAACAGCACAGGATTCTCTTGCTGTCGCCAGGGGGGAACTCGCGCTCCAACCGCCGAACATCTGAAAGATGGTTCATGTATTGGCATGCAAACCAAAGACGAAATAATGGACGAGGAAGAAGCCCAGCCTGCTAATCAAAATGGTGCAAAGCCAAAGAAAAAGGCCATCAAGCAAGAGGAGCCCAACGAAGTGACGGTGAAGCATGAAAAAATCAATCCGATGTTTGACACATCAGATCGTTTAGAAAAGGGTAACAAGACTGAGGTGCCCGAATGTGACTGTTTCCAATCGGACAAGAGTCCTCCCGAGCCCGGAACGTATTACACTCATCTAGGTAGGGTGTCTTCAAATCTCACAAACAAGAAAACAAATTAACATTTCTATTGGATCTTACAGGTACAGCTTCAAATTTAGCCGATCTACGTAGAGAGTTTGAGGAGCGATGCCAAGTTTCGGGGCGTCAGTTACGCATCGAAAAAATTCTATACACTGGTAAGGAGGGTAAAACGTCGACGGGTTGCCCTTTGGCAAAATGGATTATACGACGGGCCGATCCAGAGGAGAAAATTTTGGTTGTTGTGAAGAAACGTCCAGGCCATAGGTAAGTGTCAACATTTCCTTTGTCATCTTGGATATGTGTGTGTGTAATTACTTATACAATCCATTCCCGTGTGCAGATGTATAGCGGCATTCATTGTAGTCTGTATGGTTGTATGGGATGGCATGCCACGCCAGGATGCTGACAATGCGTATACGAATCTGATACCGAAATTAAACAAGTTCGGATTGCCCACAACACGTCGATGTGCGACAAACGAAAACCGAACGTGCGCCTGTCAAGGTAAGTTCCACTTCTGCGACAATTCTCCTTCACCTTGTAATTCTCCCTTCCCATCACTTCAATTTAGGTTTGGATCCTGAAACCTCGGGAGCCTCTTACAGCTTTGGGTGTTCATGGTCTATGTACTACAACGGCTGCAAGTATGCTCGATCGAAAACCGTACGAAAATTCCGCCTGTCCGTAAAGAGCGAAGAGGCGGCCATTGAAGAGCACATGAACATGTTGGCGACCATCTTGGCGCCACTGTTCAAGCAAATGTGTCCACGTTCCTATGACAATCAAACTCGCTACGAGAAAGAAGCTCAAGACTGTCGCCTCGGCAATAAGGAGGGAAAACCCTTCTCGGGAGTAAGTGCATGTTTGGACTTTTGCGCCCATGCACATCGCGACCTGCACAACATGCAGGACGGCTGCACCGTTCAAGTGGCCCTCTTGAAGCCATGCAACCGAGATATAAGCAATCCGGACGACGAACAGCTCCACGTCCTACCACTGTACACCATGGACACGACGGACGAGTTCGAAAGCGCCGAAGGCCAAAGGGAAAAGCACCGCACCGGTGCTGTTCAGGTGTTGGACAAGTGAGTGTAGTGTTGACATTTCATATTGGCTTCAATTTGGAAATTCATCCATGGGATTACTAATTGAAATTCACTGATCTCTTCTATGTTTCAGATTTCCATGCGAAGTTCGAGTGAGATCAACTCCCCTGATACCCTGTCGCAGGCACGGGAAGAAACGCAAAGAAGACGAACCGGCCGCCATAGAAGGAGCAGAAACAAATGCAGCAACGCCCGCACCGACTGCCTCAAGCGATGGCAATGCCCCGAGCACCCAGACCGCCACAACGGCCGCTAGTGCAGTTAAAAAGGAATCCAGCAATGGCAGCAATTCAAATGCCAGCTCCAACACTGGCACTGCGTCAACTTCGAAATCTAAATCGAAGGGTAAAAATCAACAGTCCTCCGCCACAACTCCAGCGCCACCCCCAACGACACCTTCTCCGCGTTGTCAGACACCTGTGACGAATAACCCCAGTCCAGCCGGTAGTGCATTCTCAACGCCTCCCGTTAGTAATAATCCGAACAACACCAACAACAGCGGTAACAATCATTCCAATTCAGGCTCAAGCAATGGCAGTTCGGCCGCCGGAGGTAATACCAATCAACTTATGTCGTCTAATTCGAGTTTAATGAATATGGCGACCATGATCGATACCTTCACAGATGCCCAGCTGCAATCCAATCAGATTTCGAGCACGGTTTTGGACTCTCCCTATTCGTACGACTATCAGACGGGTTCCTATATAGACTCACGGAACTACTATGGCAATTGGCCACCACCGCCGCATCCGCACAATCCTCATGCCGCCACAGCCCACAACGTGACCGCCATGGGAGGAAGCAGTGTACCACCAAGTGGGACAACTGCCACCGCTGCCAGCAATCCGAATCCAAGCCCCATGCCAACAACGCCAAATGCTGCCGCCGGCCATCAAACTGTCGCCCAGCAAGCTCCTGCCGGGACACAGCTCGATTCCAATGGTTACAACACCGCTTGTTATAATCAATTGCCCACGGCCGGTAGTAATCAGCTGACACAGGTGCACGATGTGCGTGGCGAAGTTAAAAGTCGAGGCAGCGAAGAGAATCCCGACTCAACGACATTGGTAAATAATAGCTTGACCACAGAAAGTAAGTTAACCACTCTTACTCCTATGGCACCAATGACTAATCTAACAACTCAACATCACTCTCACCACGCTCCTCCTCCTCCACATTCGCATGCACCTCCACTTGAAGAAGGATTTGTAAAGCCAAAGCCACCGACCGATTACTCGCAGTACTCTCAGTATCCGAACAACTACCAAATGTACCCACCACCACACTCGGCGTACTCTGCCTATGACGCCTACCAGAACATGAACTACAACTACGGCTATCACCAGGCATACTCGCCGTATGGCATGTATCCCCAGCAAACACCACCACCAACACCGCCGCCACCATCTCCCAACTGGAATATGTACGGACATCATCAGCAGACTTCAGGGGCAACGCCGACGCCATATTCCGCAACACCTCTGCCGCCATCGGCCACAGGACCCATACACCAGACGACGTCGTTAACGGGTCCCACTATGAATTCATCATCGTCGTCGTTGTCATCACTTCCACCGGGCCAGACAACGTTACCCAACGGAGGTGGTGGCATTGCGCCAAACCCCAATTTGAAGCCTGGCAATGATGGAAGTTTGCCGCCTGCATCTAACACCACTCCATCTCTTTGTGGCCCTGGAACCACCCTTTTGAATAGCAATACCCAAAACACGCCCATGACAGATCTCAGCCAAGCAACGGGCGCCACAAACATAACACCGGACGATACACAAGCGGGAAATTCTAATTCGAGCCTTACATCGCCAGACATGAATACGACAAACAACTCGACGACCGCAGCGTTGACTACAGCGGCCAACAATCCCGGTGAGAATGCGAACTCGGCCACGACACCATCGCCAGTATCTGCCGCCAATGAAGCATCCAATCCGGCTTCGACGACTAGCAGTAGTGCATCCAACAAAATCGAGCCGATTGGTGAAATTTCCGATTTCAGTGAAAACCTCGAGGCATTCCAAGATCCGCAAATGGGGGGAGTTGCCATAGCACTCAATCATGGCAGTGTCATGATTGAATGTGCCAAACATGAAATGCATTCCACAACTGCCCTCAAGAATCCCAATCGGCACGAACCCACACGTATGACGCTTATCTTCTACCAGCATCGTAACCTAAATCGCCATCATCACGGCATCGATGAGTGGGAGGAAAAGATGCGTGTCAAGAAAATCAACACGGATCTGGACAACAAGGCCAAAGAGGAAAAGGAGAAAATCAAGAAAGAACAAATGGGCGAAAACGATGAAGACGAGGATGGCGAAGAGGAGAAACCACCCGATGTTACGACGACGCCCACTAATACAACCAGCAAAACAACTTCAGCCAAGAAGGAAAGCAATCAGACCGGTACCAACACCAAATCGACCGGTGGATCATCAGGTGGCAAGAAAAAGAAGGAATCTTCCGCCAAGAAGAATGCCCAAAACAATAACAACAACAACAACAGCAACTCGACCGATCCAAAAAACGAGAAAGTTGCCCTCCGAGCACCCACACTAACAACAACTTCGTGGACAACCCTGTTCCCTATGCACCCATGTGTAGTTACAGGGCCATATCAGGAGGGCAACAGTAGTCCAACGTCCACGACCGTTCAACCGGGGCAGCAGCAACCACAATCTCAACAGCCGCAGCAGCAGCAGCAGCCACCGCCATTAACTGAACAACAACAACCACAGCCACAACCAATGCAGACCTAAATCAAAGCAGGGATTGTGCAACATGTAAAACAAATTTTTTGTAAAGAAAAGGCAACACGAAGGATCAGCCGCCACCGCCTATCTTCCTACAACAACAACTACTAAAGAGTGATTTCTGAGCTATTGTTTTCTGCAAAGCTTCCATACGAAGACCCATTGACGATGACTGAATTTTGTTCATAAATCATATTCTATTCTCCTTAGGATTTTGTGCCATATTTTATTTTGTTTCCATTTTTTTAATTTTTGTTGATCGCCTTATAAGATTCTCATTTGTTGTTTCCCACAAATAGATGATGGAAACTATTTTTTTTTTTTCTAATATTATTGAATAACGACTGCAGACATCAAATTAAGAATTGCTGGCAAATTTACACCAACCGACGAAGTGTTGTTGACCTTCCTCAAATGGGAGGAAAAAACAAATCACAGATTCCGATAAAAAAAAACCAACTATAATCTCATCTCACGCAAATAGATTTTGATTCATTCTAATGCTTTATCAACCAAAAATGCTTAACGACTATTTAATTGAAACTACACACACACATTTTTAAACAAACATACATACTTACATACGTACATTTAATATTTTTGTGTTATTTTTTGTCAAAAAGAAAAAAGTAAAAATAGTAGAAAACCAAAACAGCTAAACAATTTTTAAATCAAGATTACAAAACTTAAGAGTGATTTACAAAAACAAAAACAGATCCCAAAAAATAAAATAATTAAAAAAACTAAACGAAAAAGCTCACATACAAACAAAAAACTAAGAGAAAATAATAAAATATAGAAATACTGTTAGAAAAAGATCATTGCCAAAAGTACAAAAAGAAATTAATATAAAACAAAACAAAAAAGAAATGAAAACAAATTTAACACAAAATGCAAAATGAAATACTATAATTTTTGTTTTCTTCAAGCAAACTATCATCACTTTTTGCAATATAAAATAGAACGGTATGTTTTTGTTTTGGATCGTATGTTTTTTTTTGTCTGGTCTACAGTTCAAAAAAGAAAAAAAGGACAATTTTTTGCATAATAATCGAATCCAATCCGCAAATATATTTTATATTTTTGGTACACTTACAGTTGACATTCATAACACAAATTCCCCCAAATTTCAGTTTTGAAAATCTACATATAAAACACTTGTTCTTATTTTATTTTCTTAAAAATATTTCCGAAATGAAATGGAAACTCTTGTTTAATTTCTAAAAAAAAAAAAAATATTGAAAAAGTACAACATGCATAAACAACAACAATTTCTCTCTTCCCCCAAAAAATATGTTGTTCTAACGGAACAAATGACAAGCTCTGAATGCTTAAAAAGAGTATATTCTAAAATCTCTCAAATGTTAAATACAAATTCAAAATGTAAGGTTATGACTTTAATAGAAATATTTATTGAACAAAAAAAAATAAATTTTATTTTAAATGATGTTGCATTGCCATAATTAAAAAATATATCCTTTTTGATATACATAACCTCATCTTTTGAAAGTGTATTTGAAATGCACAACTGCATTGACATATAGAACAGGAATTTTAAACGTTTGTTTTTATAATTTGTTTATGTTTGTTGCATTTGAAATCACATTTGATTACTAATTTGAAAATCCTTTTCAAGATTTTTTATCGGCTATTGCCCAAATACCAACATTTCAATTCGCCAGTCACACAACAGAAATCAACCTTATAAGGCATAAAACCTTTTGTTATTGTAAAAAATGCGTGTAAAAATCAATTAATTTTCTAAAAAAAATTATATACGAAAAGAAAGAGAAAAATGAAAACAACACAAATACTGAACGAAATTAAAAGAACAAAACCAATTGAAAACAACTCATATTGAATATGAAAGTGGATAAATTTGAACAAATATTATTTATAAATAAAGAAATTAATAAAAAACAAAAACAGAACAAAACATGTTGAAAACAAAAGACAAAGACATTTAGGCACAGCAAACAACCAATTTAAGTACGATGTGAAGGTGACACTTTTTATAGTTTTTAAGGAATATACATTAGTGAATAGAACAGAACAGAATAACAAACAGAAAAGATGAAAAGAAAATCAAGCAAAACAAACAAACCAACCAACAACCAACCATTTAAGACATTTTATTATTACTATTATTTTATTTTATATTATTATTATTTTCTAATTTATATACAACATATATTCATAACATATATACTGGGAGACACAAACCAACAAATACCACACACACCCACACATATTAAAGATAAAACAAAAAACTAAAATGACATGGAAATAAGACGAAGACAAGGAAGAAGAAAAATAAACTATAATAATAATTATTATTATGCCTATGCATTGCAGCATGCATACATACATAAATACAATACTTTATTACGTATATATATATATACATACATACATTTATTTTAAGAAACAATTATGCTCTAATGGAACATCAGATTAAGACACATTCAGATTTACAAATAAAAAAATCCAACACATGTACGAAAAGAAAACATAACGACACACAAATACTTGTAATTAAAAAAATAATAAATAAATAAAAAATGTTATATTTTTGTTTAAAATATGTAAAACCAATCTAGAAGATATACATTTTTTTACATTGTGTATGTAAATATGCAAGGTATACATGCATACATATATGTTAGTCGCATTATGTTTATTTTGTTTTGAATTAAAAAAAAAGAAAACAAGCAAATAAATAACTAATACTGAATTGATAAAAGACTCAAAACCATGCAAGTATTAAAAATGCAAAAATAAAACAAGCGAAAGACAAGAACAGTAATCCCATTTTTTTGTAACAATTTTTTGTTTTGTGAAATAAAAACAATTTACTGGAATCACTCACTCAAACACTCATCAAATAAACAAACAAAAAAAAAACAAAAAATAATAATAAATTCTGCCATCCATTTCATAAGTGAAGAACAAAGCGATGAATTAAGCATAAACACATAAAGAAAACAAAACAAATAAAATAAAAATATAATTAAGTTATATCCTTATACATATATACTTATTATTTTTTTGTTTAGATTGCTTCACGTAAACCATTTTAAATAAATATTTGATTTTCATTTAATTTACTCGTACATATATAACAAATAAATCAAAATAGTTTTAAAATCCTTTTTGAGCATTTTCTAAATAATTTCATTATTTTCTTTTATTTTATTTTTTAAGATTATACATAATTGTCATAACACACAATATCATGTGAAATTATAGATTTGTCTCTGAATATAAATACATATATCAATAATTTTAATCATAGGTTTTTTACATTTTTGTACATTGCTTAATAATTTAGCAATACGAACACAATACTTTTTTTAATTTTTTTCTTTTCGTTCGTTCGTTCATTTTTTTCTTTTTGCGCTTTTATATTCTCATAACTTTTAAGTCACCACATGGTTCTTTTTTTACATTTAGCTATAGTGAAATAAATTAAATCTTATTTTTCAATTATTTATAAATTATTTTTTACTATTATTACTATTTCTAATTAAAGGCGTTATTATTATATATAAATAACATTATTAGAAACCCATACACACATATTTTTATTATACATAAGAAATGCCCACAAAACAAACAAAAAAAGAAACAAAAATCAACATAAAAATTACATAAATAAATTTTAATTTTTATCAAAAAAAAAACGGTATTTGTTGTTTTATTTTTTATTGTTTCCACTTAATGATTTTTTTCTGGCAACACCATACCAAAATCATACTATACGTACATACATATTAAAAGGATCACACAGAAATATTTGCTATATATATTTAAAAAAAAATCAAGACATACAAATATTTATTATAATTGATAATGAGGAAACCATCCCCCTCCAAAAAAACAAAATTATCTGATCTGATAAATTTACATTACAAAACAATATTAACAAAACACAAAACATGAACAAGTAAAACAAAAAAGAAAGAAATAGTGATGAACATTGCTACAGATGCAAATGAAAAATAAAATAAAAAAATGTGAAATAATTTAATTGTAAAACATTTGAATGAAAGACAAATTACCACATAATGAAAAGAAGATGAAAAAAAAAACAAAAACAAAAGAAAACCATAAATTATATTTATTTAACATATGGATAATAAAAATTAATAATAATAATAATAAAAACAAAACAAATAAATATCTTATTATTTTGTGTGCTCATCGTTTCAACATCAAGGTTGGGATAGGACGACATTCCACTATGTACCTTTAAATGCAGGAATCAACTTGTCAAATTCATTTTACTCAAAAATGCATTTTGTCAAATTTGGAGAGGGCCTATAAAAAATACTTTCTATTAGAACTGTTTCTCGACAAATTTAACCGTTGCTTTCCTCGAATGAAATTTCTACTTCAGATTAGCTGTTGTATTAGTACAGTCGAAATCGGTCAAGCGACCGTAGAATTTGGTCGTTATAAGCGATATAATTAATATATATATATATATATATGTAATTAGTACTTCTACGTGTTATATACATACGTAGAAAGAATATAAAATATACGTATACTAGCGGACCCGACGAACTCCGCATCGCCCCAATAAAGTTCATTGACATAAACTCTACTATGATAACGATTGAGATTTATTAATTGACATCGCAAAAATCAGCCGAACGGGAAACTGAATCCGCTTGAATGGAAGATCTGTTGGAATAATTAGAATTAGGATAAGGACGTCCTGTCTTTTGAATTTGCTCTTTATAATTATTGCTTGAATTACAACCGCGTACAAATTCAACTACATGATTACTACCGTTCCCACTTTCATCTGTACATTGTGGAGCGGAGTTCCAGATACATCAAGAGATTACAAAAATTCGTTTGGATAGGTTTGATTTTGAATAATCATATTCAAGCTACCGCCGTCCTTATTCTTCGCTGCTAGTATTCCTCGTTCACTAATCCACTCTTGATTTATATATTGTGATGAGTTTCTACTTATGACGATGTGCACTTACAAA